AATAATATTATATATACATTATATATTATAATATTATTATAATAACATTAATATTTCATTTATCATTATATGTAATATTATTATTTATATATTATTATTTATTTTATATATATATTATTTATTGTATATATAATTATTTATTTTTCAATTGTATTAATAATAATATTATTAGTAGGAATTTTAGAACTGTAACTATACATTACATTACAAACATTGACAGTTCTACCGTTTAATATGAAGGATGCAATACTGCTAAGAACCAATGGGGGGCGTTAAACAAACACCGGGGTTCCTGCTTCCCGTTAGCTTCGTCAAAGCTGCAATATCCGAGCCCTGACATTGCGAGGATGGAGGCTGTTATGGTTTAGATCGGGCTTCGCTGAAAGCACACACAGTAAGTATTAAAGACATTTTCTGACAAGCTACCAAGCCGGTCCAGTTAAAACAAAAAGAACAACTTATTCAGTGAGCGAGCGTTAGCGTCTTTGCAAAGTTAGCTAGCAGAAGCGACAGCAAAGCTAATGTCAACGAAGAGGCTAACGCAGCAAACATTATCAGTGCTAGCTTCGGATAACTACAACGTAGTTTCAAATAGGTGTTACGTTTGCAACGATAAATACTGCATCTGACAAGTGAACGCTTTGTTCACATGCCAGGAAAATGGCATTGTTACATATAAGCAAAGCGAGCGCTGTTTGCTGCTAATAGCATCTGTAAGATGATGATGATGATGATGTTTTGATGCTAGCTAAGGCTAACCAGCTGCTCAGTTCAAGATCCGTTTCCTGGTTGTTATTCCTCGATTTGCCAAAGATTCTGGGTTTTGACACGAATCATTTGGTTAGTTCTGCACTTTAAAAGGGTAAACATAGTCTCTGGGTTTAAAATATGTAATAAGTTTGTTTGTGATAAGTTAGAAGGATGTAAAAAGTATTAAGCATCCGGGCTGTCTGGTGGATAATCTTTACAGTGAATGGGTTGCTTGTATGAGTGGTGATAGTTTTAAATACAGTAGTGTTGCTTAGATTTGCATTTGTTCAAGGCGTGCCCAACGGTTTCATCATATATTAAGTTTTGATCCTGCATGTTTGCATCAGACTCCAGTTTTGCTCCATCCTTTTGCTTAAACTCCTTAAAGTGAACATGATTGTTTCTTTTTAAGGAAAATATGACAAAATCTAAGGAAAGTGTTCAAACAGCTGGTGCATCTATGCTGAATTAATGCAAAATAATAATATTAAACAGTGACTTTGTAAAGTTGAGCTGCCTGATCTGTGTTTGCAGGTGGGAGGCAGGAGGTGTGAGCGAAAAAGCCCCAGACACCAGCAGCATGTACTCCGAGTGGCGCTCCCTGCAGCTGGTGGTACAGAGCGACCAGGGTCACCTCAGTGTTCTGCACACCTACCCTCCCAATGTTGGTACAGAGGTGGCAAACGCAGTGGTCAAGCCTTTGGGCACAGCCGTTAGCCCTGTGGCCACAGAAAACATCCTTAAAACGGACAAAGAGGTGAGAAAGTTTGCAGGCAAGATGGAACATTTGTAAATCTTTTAAACTCTCCTTCATATCTGTATTTACTGGTCAATGGGTGGGACATCCTTAAAACCTGACTGAATTATTCAAAATTGAGCAAACTGCGCTTTTGTGTAAAGCACACAACTTATTTTTTTATACTAGACAAGCAGTTTGTTCACATGAAAGTCTGTATGATTCATAACTTATTTTCAGACAGTGGTTGATCACCTGGGCTGGTGGTTGGAAAATACAAAAAACCGGAAGCTTCTCCTTCCTAAATCTGTAAACATGTAAACTTTATGACCTTTGATCTGTTTTTTTGTTTTTGTTTTTTTTTATTTATGAGTCGAGTAAAAATCAGATGTACGATTCAGAATAGGGAGTAAATCTCTAATCCCTTCATTTTCTTACACTTTCCTTCTTCTGTGATTATATTCCAGCAAGCCAAACCAAGTTTGCAAATAAAAATTGTCCAAATTCAGATAATTAGATCTAAAAAAAAAACTGTAGATCCTTATAGACGTGCGAAAACCCGATCTGTTTATCTTAAACTCCAGTATTGAAAATTATTGCAAGTGTTTCTGCAGCTTCTTCTATTTGAAGTTTGTTTACGAGTTTCTTTTTTGGTGCTGTACTTCAATATTTTTAGAGCCACTTAGAGGAATAATGGTCATACTGAGATTAACATTATTTAAAAACAAGGTCCAACTCATTTCTGTTGTTAACCTTCATCTTCATTCTGACTGTAAAGTACTTGTTTGTAAATTGTTGGTATAATTTTAGCAAATTTAAAAGTATTTCGGTGACAAGCAGCAGTACTTTGCTAAGTCTTGATTTTGCTCTGTCCATGAAAGGATGACGCTTTGTGTGTACATGTTTGAATAGGAGCTTATGATTTTTTTTTTTACTTATAACACCTCAATTATGAAGCAAACCTGCTGATTTTTATTCGTTTTCACGCTGTGAATAAGTTCCATGTCTTTGCAAAAGGAAAGGAAGGTAGATTTATTCAACCAGAGAAATATTTAATCCTTAAGTTTTGTTGAGACGTTTACCTGTCAAGGATAATCAAGTTAAAAATCTGTAATTTTGGTCACCATTATCACATTTGTCAGTCCATTTTTTATTCTTAATGAATGAATGAACAGCAAACTTAAGTGAATTTGAAATTGGAATCTTGTATATTTTTTTGGGAAGAGTTCTGTCTATATGTTGTTCACTCATCAGGGTCCTTTAAAATGTAGAGTTCGTCTTCTATAGAAAAATTACCAAAGCTCCTTTAACTCTTTTTCATATCTCAGAAAAAAATGTGGACCTGCTAAACAGTTTGATAAAACCTTTTTACTTACGACTGGAAAAACTCCTGTTTCCCAGGTGAAATGGACCATGGAAGTGCTTTGTTATGGCCTGACCCTTCCCTTAGAGGGGGACACCGTCAAGCTGTGTGTGGACGTGTACACGGACTGGATGATGGCCCTGGTGTCTCCCAGGGACTCGATGCCGCAGCCTGTGGTGAAGGAGCCCAATATGTACGTCCAGACCATCCTCCGACATCTATACAACGTATTTGTGCCAAGGTGTGTGAGAAACTTTTCAGATCAGCCTAAATGCTCCTTTTTTCTCATCACCATATTTGCTTCCTGCTGCTTTTCCAAACTGTTTTCTGGTTGTTTTCTGAGACGTTTTGTGTTTGTGTGCCTGCAGGCCTGAACAGCACAGTCTGAACCACATCAGGCTTTGCCAGCAGGTTCTCACTGCGGTCCAGAAGCTGGCACGAGAATCTGTATCCATGGTGAGGGAAACCTGGGAGGTGCTCCTGCTCTTCCTGCTGCGCATCAACGACACTCTGCTCGCTCCACCGTCGGTTGGCGGTAAGCCAGACTCTAAAGCGTTTATTCATTCGTTCCTCATCAGCTGCTCGGAGTAACCTATCATTACTTCTCTTTTCAGTGGGGGTAGCAGAGAAGCTAGCAGAGAAGCTGATGGCTGTGCTGTTTGAGGTGTGGCTGCTGGCATGCGCCCGCTGCTTCCCCACGCCGCCATATTGGAAGACTGCGCGGGAAATGCTGTCCAATTGGAGACACCATCCTCCTGTGGTGGAGCAGTGGAGCAGAGTAGCTTGTGCTCTGACTTCAAGGTAAGGCTGCTTCAGTCCAGTTTAATCTGTTCATTAGCATCAGGAAGGAGGCGAGCAACCAAAATAAAATAAAGTCGATAGTTTATCTGCTGTTATGATCTGTATCCTCTGGGGTCTATTTCCAGGTTGTTGCGGTTCACCCACGGACCGTCCTTCCCACCTTTTAAAGTTTCTGACGAAGACGCCAACCTGATCCCTGTAGAGATGGACAATGACTGCGTGGCACAGACGTGGTACCGCTTTCTCCACATGATCGGGTGCATATCCTCTCCTAAATGTAGTTTCATTTATCTGGGGGGGGGAAAAAAACAGCAGTAATTGTTTTGCATATTTATCTGCTTCTGGTTTTTAAGGAGAAGTGCATCTCATCTGTCGCTCCTGTAGTTCCTGTAAAATGTTTAAACAATAAACACTGAATAGCTTGACTTTGATACAGCCCAACTCTCTGTCATCTGCTGCTTTCTTCTTCATCCATCCATCTCACTCACTTCCTGTCTTTAATCAGAAGAGATAAACTTCATTTCCTATTTGGTCTGTTTCCAGAAACCCGGTGGACTTGAGCAACCCCGCCATAGTGAGCACCACCCCGAAGTTTCAAGAGCAGTTTCTGAACTCCAGCGGGATTCCCCATGAAGTAGTGTTGCATCCATGTTTGAAGCAGCTCCCGCAGATCTTCTTCAGGGCAATGAGGGGAATCAGCTGCTTGGTGGACGCGTTCCTAGGTGAGAGGACGCAGAGACAAACGGCTCCCATGTGAGATCGGAGACCGAGCTGAAACCTAGGAAGCCCATGAATCTGTTAAAGATGAGATGTTGTAAAGAAACACGATTCTTAAAGACCCTATACCATGCTTTTAAAAAAGATTTCCACAATCAATGTTAGACGTATATGTGATAATATATTGAAATTGTACCAAGTAATGAAATATTGGCTGTTTTTTGGTGCTACTTTTAAAGACATAAGAAACATATTTGCCTTCAATGCGTCGGTGCCTCATGACTTGGCCCTAAGGCGGCTGTAGCCCGTAGTCAGGCTGATGAGGTTAGGCTCTTTTAGGAAGGCTGGACCGAGTTCTAAGCATCTCGCAGCTGAACATCACTGCAGCTTAGACCTCAGCTTAGAGAGAGCAGCTGCTGTCAGTGTGATCATTAGGCGCTAGAAATCTACTTAGTTTTAAGTTCAGCATCTCTTTTAAGATTTCTGATCTGAGAAAGTGGGCGTGTTGCTAGCTGTGCAGGCGTGGTCAAAGTAGAAGCTCTTTTAGGGAGCGGGGAATCACTTCTCTATGTAGAGAGAATAAGAAGCGGCTGCTGCTGAGAATTCACACGGATTACTCAGACATGCAACCATCAAACCAAGCACCAGGGTTCCCATGACTTTGATAAAGCAAGAGATTTATAACACTGTAAAAATCTCAGAAAGTTGGTTTATGTATGATATAAACCCTTTATATTGGATCAATCTGATCTGAATTGAACTTTTTGGACTTATTAAATGTAGCGTTCAGTGATGCTGGTGAGAGTGACAGAAACAGCCTTGGCGTTTCTGTGTGTAAAGGACTGGGCTGTGTAAAGTACTGGGCTCTCACATTGTTGAAATTACATTAGCTTACTTTTTATATTTTATATAGTCAAACATGAGTTACTGTTTGATTACCAGTAAATAATTATTCTTTAAGGCTACTGTTACAATTAACCCTTCATAGGGCACTCAATAAAATACTTTGAAAATGAAAATTTCAAGCCAATAGTTTTATTGGACTACAAGACAAGACCTTATTACCTTTGTAACATTCAAAAAATATGTATATTTTGATGGAAAAAATGAATGTCAATGTAATAATAAAAAACGCCAACTTTCCCGAATATATTAAGAAAAATAACAAAAGTGCTTCTATAAGAAATCCATGGAAAACTCTTGGTACAACATAACCTTAGAGGCATTAATGCTGATACTAGAACTGACATTTCTTTAGTTTATAAACCAAAATAAAATTAACTTTTTAACTTTTCAATTAGCTTTTTACCTTTTTTATTGAGTTAACTTTTTTCCAACGTAATTTCCAGTAGGTAATATATCATTCAAGGGCTCATCTAATTGGTCAAATGCTAAAATAAGATGTACAGCCATGTAGCAGCATCTTTGCTGAATGACTGGATATAGATATTGTGCTTCTAGACCTCACTGAGGGACGGGGGGACTCCATTTGTAAGGGGTATGCAAGTGATCAAAAATGTTAACTTGCCCTATAAATGGTTAATAACATATTTTCTTGTTACAGCTTATATCTTCTGTTATGTTGAACAGAAAACTTGTTCTCTTAAATAAAACAAATGTGTTAGATCCAGGCATTATGGGATGATGATGAAGGTGCTTTATAGGAAAGATCAAAACCTTAAAGTTATAGTGGAGGATGTTCTTTTTCCTGGTGGATCTTCAAAATAAGTGGTCCTCCTAATTGTCAATCATTCTACACAAGTGGAGAGGGCGCTTCTTATCAAAAAATTCGCAAAAATCCTCCACTATACCTTAAAATCATTTCCATCATGAAAGGAAATCATAACGTTAACTTTTATTTGTCTGCTTCTCTCATTATTTTTGCATGAACTAAGAAAATGCAGATGGGTTCATTATCCACCTCATTCGAGGAGAAACATGTCAGCATGTATTTTTCTCTTTACACTGTAGGTGTCTCTGTTGAAAAGAGAGACGTACGCGAGAGGGCGTTCTCTTTTTGTCCCGTGCTGCTCTCTCATGGTACACACATCAGCTGATGCCTTATTTTACAAAAAAAACATGGAAATGTGTTTTTTTTATTTATTTATTTTTTTGTGGTGATTGTGTTAAAGGTCCAGTGTGTAGCTCGTAGTGAATCAATTAAAGGAAAAATACCTTCAAATGTTCCCTGTGCAGAAAATAATCAAGCTGCTCTGGAGTTTGATTATTGGGCTGCTGTAGGATAAAAAAAAAAAGATTTGAATATTTTGTTTGTAAAAGAAAATATCTTCATGCATGTTTTCTACTCATTAAAAGATCATTTTGATGTTAATTTTAGTCTAAATGTTGCACACTGGAACTTTAAGAACTATAGGTATTGCTTCTAAGAAAACAGTAGCTCACCAATTTTTGACTAAACTCCGTGATCATCAACAGGGGACTCCTGCAGCCTTAAAGAGCCAATCAACAGCAGAGCTTTTCCAATCTTGGTGATTCACATCTAACCGTTCTAATGCATGTCTGCCAATGAAGACAGGCTTTGATTAGCTCTCTCATCCCAAATCATCAACTCTTTCTCCATCTTTTTCTGAGACGCTGATTTGAGATTGAATGTGTTTTTCTTCTATGGTGATGTTACCCTTTTGTCTGCAGGCATATCACGACCCCGGGCTGACAGTGCCCCGCCCACCCCAGTGAACAGATTGAGTATGTCTCCGCCCCCCTCTGTTGCCAACACTACGCCCCCACACAGCCGCAAACAGCGACACGCTGCGGTTGTGAAAACTGCGAGCAAGAGCTCAACCGTAAGTCTAAATGTTGATCGTTTTAGGGTGATATTGGTGTTTTTTTTTTTCCTCTTGTTTCGGTGCTGGCCGATTTATTAGTGTATTCAGCAGCCATGCTGTGGGGTAATGCGAAGTGCATCCTTCATCACTGTCCTTGCCTTTTCTATGGAAGTAAATTGGGGACCTAAAGTTTGTTTTAGAAAACAATGTTAATCTAAACAATGTTTTTGAAACTTAAAGAAAAAAATAAAGGAAAAAATAAATAAATGAAAGCAATCACAAAAACACAAATTACAGAATAGAGAACTTTTTACTTAATACTCTGAGCTCTGTGAGCGCTCCAATGGAAGCTGCCGCGGTGCATGCTGGGACAGCTGTCAATCTCGAGAACGTAAAAGTCTGCTCTGATGCATGCTGGGTAAATAGGGAGGGGCGAGAACAACATCTGGGGACTTTGTCCTTTTTTGGTCTTGTTTTCTTGTGAATTGGAACCGTACTAGGGCTGAGGCTGATAAACACACGAGCACCTGAGAACACACAAGTACACATATTGAGGAACGCCCTTAGTCATCATACTAGGGGTGTAAATCACACCCATCATGGCGATTCGATTCAGTATCGATAACCTTACAGGCTAGACAATGTTTCAAATTCGAAATAAATCATTGAAAGCTGTAATATCGTTATGCTTTTTTTTTTTTTTTTTGAGAAACTACAGAAAAAGTAGAAAAGTTGTACTCCTCCTATTCCTATTAAAACCTCATTAACTGATAAATAATAATACCCCTGCGTTATAGATTCTGAAAGGCTTTGCATCAAAAAATACTGCACAAAATCAGTGCAATGAGTGTGCAATTCAATACCTCGGCTCCAGACGTCCCCGCCCCCACCAAAGACACTCCGCTGCACCTCTACCAAATTGTAGCTGACCGCAGACAGTGCCGCAGACAGGAGGCTGGCTTGTTTTGTTTTTATGACTGAAATTGTGGAAAACAACTCGTGCTAGAAGAGCCAGGTGCGCGAGAACGCTGGTACCCTTTTTTCCATCTGGATCTCTGCTCTTTTTGGCCCTCATGTCCCTGCGTTGTCGGACTAAACTCGCCCCCACTTCCTCTCCGCCTCGGCCATATCTAGACCCACAGCGTATAGTGCAGACCACGCTTTAGTATTGAGCATATATCAAAAATGTCTGCGTCAAGATCACTGTGACACACTGCTGCAGGAGTATAACCAGAAAGCGGGGTAGAAGGGCAAAATAGGTTTAGCGCCACCGCTGACTCCAATTTAACTCCATAATTTGCTATGAATTGTTCACAATCGTTTTTATTTTTTGTTTAAATTGAGACTTGTGTAACATTCACTATTATTGTGTCATATCTATCATGCAAATGGAGACAGAAAAAGAAAAATCATCTCAAAGAATCGGTCCTAAAATATCAACAGCACATATCTATAAGAAAGCCCAAACCTTATATTGATTCAAATTTGTTCTCTAAACGATCTCGACTAGGATCACCACGTTGCTAAAATCTCAAGCTCAACATCAATATCCAGGAAAATATTTGATATTTGATAACATTTAATAAATAACTAGGATGAAAAATCACAAATAATTGAAGGCATAAAAAAAAAAAAACTTGGAATAACTCACTCTAATCTCCGCACGCTTTCTCAACAGATTCACAGATTTTAGTTAAGTTAATGTTCAAAATAAATAACCCCAAAACCTAACACATTTTAAAAACACCTGTCTTTTATATGGATATACTGACAAATTAGAAACTGAGTATCAAACTTTTAGAACCTGTCCTTATGATTACACATGGTGGTGGAAGCATCATGCTGGTGGAAGGGAGTTGATAGAAAGATGGATGGGAGCCCAAGTTAGTCAGGAGGGCTGCAGGCAGTCGTCAAATATCTTTTCTTTTTTTTCTTCTTTCTTTTCAAAATATAAGGAGCTGATGGAGAATAAATGAGAGGTGGACCTCATCACCTTTATAAAACCTACCAATGGGAACAGGTTAAAAGGGTTATGAGTAATTATATATCAGCTTCTCAGTAATCAGTGAGAAGGCGTTAGATCATTTCTGTCATGCTTTTTTTTATTCCTCCATCTCATTGTTATATAATGTGTTGGGAGTTGCTTGTCTCCTTTTCAGTCTTTCTTGGTTTAAAGAAAAAGATCAAATCTAATGCCAGCAGCATGAATAATGTCTGGTTTGAATGAAAATACAGGACAGTACAGAGAAACAAAAAAGGTAATTATTAAAGGAAAAGGAGGAGGATCACCTGTGAGTGGCGATATAACCTTGAACTTACCTCTGCAGCTACAAGGGAAAGGTTCAATAATGTTCAGAAACATGTACTGTAAACCAGATCTGATTTATAGAACAGGAAACAATAAGTGCCAGCAATGTGAAAAAGAGCGCTTTAGGTTTGATCAAGTTCTACTTTATTCTTGGTTTCTTTATTTCTTCTTTATGCCTTAACAGATAAGTGCTTTTTTTTTTTTTTTTTTTACACGCAACAATAAACTGAACTAGAAATAAACAAGTCACTAAAAGCTTAAAATAGCTGCATTAAAACTGACAGATTAACCAAAACGGATGTATAAAATCAGCAGCAGGACAATGTCTGCCTTCAGCGAGCTGCTGAATCGTAGGATGCTATGGGAACGACTTTGTTTGTTTTGAAATTACCCGATCATGTGGTGATTTTAAGTTACAGGGATAGATTTTTATTTTAACAGAGCTTTAAAATCTGTTAGTTATTGTTCTTTTTTTCCTCTATTTAAACACTCACATTTAATTTAAAAGTTAATAAATGAAAAATCTTCTCATATAAAGTCAAGTCTTAAATCTATATTTGATCCACTGTACATTTGTGTGTATATAAGAACATATGATGGGGGTGTATTAGGTTTTAAAAGCTGCTATAATGTTGGCGCAACGGTTCTCCTAAAATCTTAGTAGCTTTATCAGTTATTTCCTGCCTGACTTGGAACAAGCAGCTCATAAAATCTTCAATAAACGCTTCATTCTGCTGAGGATCTTCCCTAAGGGGAGGAATTTGCAGAGGGGTCAAAGATTAGTTCCCATTTGTTTTGCTTTATTGTGTTTGTTTGGGCTCTGAATATTTTCTCTTGTTCGATTTAATTAAGATTGTTTGGAAAAGAAAAACTTGTTTCATCCAGTTTAAAATCACTTTTATTTTCCTCCATAATTCTGGATCACCTGAAAATATGTCAATTTTTATTTCACCAGAAGCTGGGTTAATAAGAGCCTTAATGGCTGGAGACATTTTACCCTTCAGGTTTATATCTGATTTGTTTAAACTACTCTGTGTTTTTCCACATTTTTCTGACTGTAAACCAAAAGGTGAAATAATTCAAGATGTGTGAATATTTTAGTAAGGCTTTTTCTTCCTTGCTTTATCCTGTTAAAGTCGTAGGGAAATGGCTTAAACATGTATATAAATGTACTCTTTATCAGACCATATTGTCCCAAAAGTTTGAAAATTTGTGTATAACAAAAAAAAAAAAATCCTGTTTTATATTCTGTAATGTAATTTCCCATTGGGAACCTACTAGCACCAAGTTGCTAACCGGCCACAATCAAACTTGCGAACCCTCCGCCACAACAATCCCGCCCCCTTGATAAACGATCAATCACATTCACTTAATACACTCGTGTAAAGTCGGGTAGCCTCGTGAGACCATCCTGATCTCGCGAGCTTTCAAGATTTCACTCGCTAATCAGTCTGGAGACTCTCCGTTAAAGAAAATTTGGAGCCGTTCACCAAACGAACGTCCAATCAGCGTTGGCTTTGAGGCGGGTTGAGGTGTGACGCAACGAGAAGCCCGACCGTTCAGTCTAAAGATAGCCACGCAACTAGTGTTAGCGTGGCTATCGAGCAAGTTTTATCGGAATTACAGAGTATTTCTTCACTGAAAGAAGAGCAAAACACTGCTCTGGAGGCTTTTCTCAGAGGAAAAGATGTTTTTGCTATTCTCCCGACTGGTTTCGGCAAGAGTAGCCTGGCTTGTGGTTGTGTTTTCGTCGTCTGTCTGTTAGTGCGTCATATGCTACGTTGATCTGATTGGTTTATTTGGCCCGTCTATCACCAACATAGGCCAATCAGCTAACCAGTATTTTCGCCCCTTCCCAAAATTACTTCAACGGAAGGTTTCCAGATGGATATGCGGAGCAAATCCATCTGGCGGAGTCAGGTTAAAAGTCGGGCACCACTCGGGAGAATTTGGAAATTCAAATGTTGGAACGGCCATTTTCCTACGACTTTAAGGTCTCCTTCTCTGCTCTCTCCCCTCCCTGCAGAGCAGCAGTAGTCAACCAGTCAAAGCATCCCAGCAGCAGCAGCCGTCGTCTTCCCCGACCCTGCTCTCCAGCCCCAATCAGAGCAGCTGGGAGGCGCGGCCCCTGCCGGCCCCGGCGCGGCCCAAGGTCAACAGCATCCTCAACCTGTTTGGCCAGTGGCTTTTCGATGCCGCTCTGGTCCACTGCAAACTCCACAGCGGCCTCAGCCGCGACCCCAGCATGACCGGTAAGCATGAAGCTGGGAGATGATGGGGATTCATTTGATGCATGTTAGAACCGTATCTGTGTTCTGTCGCTGTTCATTAGCGTGTGTTTTTATTTTGTTTTTCTGTGGTGTTCTGTTTTATGTAAGTTATTGGGATGTTTTTCCTTTTTTTTTACCGTCTCTCTGAAACTTTGTACCTTTCTATGTGTGGAGGGCTTGGTTAGAAGTGGCCATGGATGAGATTTCCATCTGATCCTAACCCATTTGACAGCTAGCTTAACTTGGCTAAACCTACAACAAGTTGTAATTCCTTTATCTGTAAAATCCTCCTTGATAATTAGTAAATAATTTGGCTGATCATTGGTATCTTCTCTTTGCTGTAATGTCCTTCACGTGTCTAACATGTCTGATTATTGTCCAATACTTCCAGTGGGTCGAACGCAGCAAAAATACAATTCCTGCCTGATATGAATTGATCCCAAAATACCGGATCTGCTTTGATTTTTGTCTCTCTTCACTATTTCTGTTATCTTGCAGCCTCTTTTATCCAAATTCTCCTTTCTTATAAATCTTGTAAGTAGGAACGGCAGCTTCTTCTCCTCACTTGATTTGCGTTTCTTGACAAATCTTCCTGCTTTTCAGTTGAATTTCTCATGATCATTGCCATTACCACCATGGTTTTCATGACCCCACTCCTTCTCATATATATATATATATATTTATACGTGTATAAAACGAGCACCAGAGTTTGTTCAGCGCTTTACCAGAGGTGATGAAATGGATTTCACCAACTGACCATTTGTCTCAACCATAATATTGCCAGTTTTATGACAATGCCACCCCCCCTCCCTCCCATTTCAGTTGTTTTATTTTCTTTGAGTCATGCTAATCTGTATTATTATCTTCCGGATCTTCCCCCCACTTTAACTTGTGCATTAATGTTTGGTTTTGCGTAATTCTTATTTTATTTGTTGTGTTCTCAGTTTACTTGCGTTGTGATTTTTAATTTCTGTTTTTTTCCGATGCCTCGGTGCATGAAGTGAATGATCTGTTCTTGAGGTGACAGCCATTTAACTGCAACATCATGAAAGCTGACACAGGGATTTTGCTCTGCCATTACGTTACCTGATGACTCAGTTAAGCACGATAAACATTTACGTTAAACATTTGTAACATCCATAGGTGAGGCTCGTATTGCAAACTCTTTGTGTCAGATTTTCCTATTTGAATGCTTTTAAAGGTTTGTTTGGAGTCAATATATTCTGATTTTCTTCTCTTATCTGGATGAATATCTGCTTTTTGTTGCTTTATGTATTAAATGTCTACGGATTGCTTCTTATATTCACCTGTCGTAGATATGTTTGTGTTTACCCGTGTCTAATAGCTGCATGCTTAAGAATGACCACATCGGTCCTCTCATTCCTTCTCTTCCTGCTCGCTGCAGCAATAGCCACTCAGATGGGTTTGGAGCTGAGGAGGAAGGGTTCCCAAATGTCCACTGACTCTATGGTGCCCAACCCCCTCTTTGATATCAACGAGTTCCCCGAGAGCTACGAGTCGGGAAGAGCCGAAGCCTGCGGGACTCTCTGTCGCATCTTCTGTAGCAAAAAAACTGGAGAGGATATTCTTCCTGTTTACCTCTCGAGGTACGAACAAAGCCTTTCAGATTGCTAACATGGTGTATTGCTCTGCAGCCTTCAAAAGTCTGGGAGGTTTGAGATTTTTCTTGAATGTTTGGTTGATTTGGAGAATTATATAAAAGCATAAAATTATCCTGAAAAGATTTATAGTTCCATCTTTTATTCTCCTTCTTCCATTAACTAAAGGACAATAATCTAAAGCATAATAATGCATATATTGATTATTAAATCAAAATAGGTCTGTTTTACTTTAAAACTTTAGGTTTCAATTTAACTAATTGTGTGGTTTAAAGAGCTAAAGTGAAACTTTTTCTTTAATTTTTACCAGCAAACAGCCAAAAAAACACCTTAAATTGGCTCCTTTTAGACTCTGATTCTCCAGTCCCACTTTAAAAGTCCTTACAGCTGCATATGTGTCTGATTTAGTATAAAATAAAGTCAGAAAAAACAGACGAGATGTCCAAAAAGCTTTCTCTGGTTGTATATCAGGTGTTATCTATAACTAGTGGAATAAATAAGTCTGTTCCTCGTCTCTCTGCAGGTTCTACATGGTTCTGATCCAGGGTTTGCAGATCTCTGATTTCATCTGTAGACCAGTTCTGGCTTCTATCATTCTTAACTCTTCGTCTCTTTTCTGCACCGACCTGAAGGGCATCAATGTTGTGGTGCCTTACTTCATTGCTGCTCTGGAGACTATTGTTCCAGACAGGTGAGACGCCTTCACCCGTCTTTATGTTGCTGTTTATCCCTACCGCATGTTACTGATCATGTTTTTTCTTTTCTCTCTGATCCCTGCTTTATTTGTTAGGGAACTGTCGAAATTCAAGATTTATGTAAATCCTACAGACTTGAGGAGAGCTTCCATTAATATCCTGCTCGCCATGCTGCCTCTGCCTCACCACTTTGGAAACATCAAATCAGAGGTAACGATCCACAGAATCAACTCTCTTTTCTCTCTTTGAGTTTTTGTTTGTCATAAAGTGTCAAGTGGGTGCTGAAATGTTTTTCATTCCATGCATCATTCTTTTGTAAATGAAGCATTTATTCATGTGCAAAAAACAAACAAAACGTAAATGATGTTAAATTGTTTTGTTACAAAAGTTCCCAAAGCTCAGCAGCGCTTCTGTCCTGCAACCTTTTGATGCTTATCTGCTCCAACACACCTGGATTAAATTGGCTGAATTCCCTCATCAGTTTATTCAGGTTTAAGTGGTTTGCAACTTGAGCCCTTCAGAAGTTGGAAGGCTGTATCTCTCAGGTCTGGGCTCGGCCTCCCCTGCCTTCAGAGGAAGACTTTAGGGGAACGCCGTTTTTTTTGCATTGGCCCCTTGATTTTACGTTAGTACATCATGTTGTACTCACCCATATGAGTTTTGTGTCCTTTGGAGCTTCTTCTGAAGAGATTCGGTCAGATTATATCCTAGTAACGTCTTCTTATGGGCAACGACTTGAAGGCACAAACTAAACGGTTCTTGATTTATTCTTTGTGGTACGCCAGCATTCATAACATGTAGGCGAATCACTGTCCCCCAGACATCCGCGGTTATATTTGTTAAATTTATATATTTTTTTTTAACAAAGCGGCCTGAAGTTGTGACAGGCAGCCCGGGCCACAGGCAGCTACGCTCTACCCCTTCTATTCATTCGGCTAGCTAATCTGAATCGTTCAATTTCATTTCGAGAGCAAGATCATCTGTGGTAGTAGCACTAGACATCTTCCAGGCATGTGAGTAAAACTAGCAGCTGTTCAGCGGAAAGGATGAAGGAATGGTAGCCGGCGCACGGATGACGTCATACACACTCCGCTTTGTTTTAAAAAGATATAAATATAAAAAATATAACCGCAGATGTCTGGGGGACAGTGATTCGCCTACATGTTATGAATGCTGGTGTACCATAAAGAATAAATTATGTACAGTTTAGTTTGTGCCTTCAAGTTGTTGCCCATAGGAAGACGTTACTTGGATATAACCTAATGGAATATCTTCAGAACAGCTCCAAAGGACACAAAACTCATATGGGTGAGTAGAACTGATGTAATAACATGTAATGTAATTTACATGTAATGTAAAATCAGGGGACCAATGTAAAAAAAAACGGCGTTCCCCTTTGAGGGCTTGTTATACTCCTGCAGCAGTGTGTCACAGTGAGCTTGTCGCAGATATTTTTGATTTTTGCCCAAAATTGAGGTGTGGTCTGTGCTATGTTATCCCACGCCACAACGCAAGAGGGACAATCACGAAATAGCTGTGGGCCTAAAGGGGGTGAGAAAGTGGAGAAAGTGGGGATCCTGGTGGAAAAAGGGTCCATCTTCATGAGTGGTTTTCCACAATGGCGGTCATACAAATAAAACAAGCCAGTAAGGTACCAAACAGGAAATCTCCATAGTGAAGAGCGGATGTAGATTTGACCAATCAGAGGCCTCCTGTCTGCGGTCACCTACAATTTTACAAAGGTGCACCAGAGTGTCTGCGGCAGGAGCGGGTGCATATTTACATTTCACTGCGACACACACAGACGCTCTGGTTTCTGAGTTTAAATCAGGCTTTACTCTGAAAGAAGAGACTTTAACTGTTTTACTTAAAGCTGTCAAGGCAAATCCACCCAAAAAGCCTCAATGAGCAAAAAAAAAAAAACTGTTAAAACATCTTAATTTTTTTTTTTTTGTTTACACATTTTTAGGTTAGATGTGATCATAGCAACATCGCTCCCCCTTAATGGAAATATGAGCCACTGAAAACTAAGCTGTGACAAAATCAGGGTAGTTTTAATGGCTACCTGTTGAAGAACGGTGTTTCCTGATGCATTAAATGGGGGAAGCATTGAGGCAAAGACAACGGGCATCTTTTTGTTTCTCACATCAAGTCAGTAAAGATTCTTAAAGGCAGCAACAGACAAATCAACATTAAAACCTGCAGTTTACACAGGAAGAGGAGGAATAATAGAGGAGACAGTCGTGTTGGTTCTGACAAAGTTGTGTCTAACACCTTTTATACTTATAAAGCCAGAGGAGTGAATGTAAAACATGAACTAAAGAAGGGTGAAAATAAGGCATGATTTTTCTCACATGTATTATAGGTACATAAATAAGCAAGAGTTTGGTGATATATATGTATATTGTATCACGATACTTGTGTCATTATTCAACTTATGTCCTGATACATTAACAGAGATGATGAACTGGGATGTTTATAACAAAATTCTGGAAAACCTAAGATCCTGTTGCTCTGGCTGGTGGAGAGGAGCTGACTCATGACCTATTGGGCTTTGTGCTGCCACCTAGTGGCTGCAAGTTTAGGAGTTATATCAAAGTAAAGCAATGAAATGGATGTTTGCCTATTTTTTTATTGTTTTTTGCATCTAAAATCCATTCAGTCGTATTTCAAATCAATACCCAAAATATATTTTATTAAATTGTTTTACTTTTATCTAATATACAATAAGGTTTTTTAGCAATATTTAGAGCCCCTGACCTCACATTCGCTTTAATATATTTTATTACCATATTAATATATTTACCATATTAGTATATTTTATTACCATACCATCAAAACTGATTAAGCAAAGCAAGCTCTTTCCAGGTTAAACATAATCAAACTTTAATATGACCAAAAACTGAGACATGTTCATCACATGTTCATCTTCGTACAAACGACCTGTAGCTCCTGTTTACGGATGTTGAGCTGCTCGTTATTTAGATTTCTCCTTTTCACAAATCACAAGCTTGTCTATGTTTGCTCGTTAGAGCTTGCTCTTCTAGAGTCCATTGATGCAGGACTTTAACCTTTGTGTGACGAAAAAGTGCTATGCTCTACCTGAATGTATGGCTCTATCCTCCAGCTGCAACTCTTTCTTCCTTTCTGTGTGGCGGCAAACCCACTTTAAGTGTATCATGGCTACCTAAAAGGTGGAGTGATACATTTAGTGTCTCACTCTTGTTTAATGTAACCAAAACTGACTGTCTCTGCGATTTAAAAATGTTTTTTTGTTTTGTTTTCCCCCCACTTCATAATTCCCTGCAAGAGCCTAGAACATGCACGGAGAACAAGGTGCAGCAACAGAATGGTGTCATTTATATCTTGGCATTACTTCTTTCTCCTTTCAAAAACAGAAGTCTTGTTCTTAAATCTTTAATCTCTATCACTTTTTAAACTTGGAACTGCATGATAGAGATTTAAAAAATCTTTATCTTTCACCTTTTTATCAGTCTGTCAGGACTGCTTCCGTTTTCTTTTCTTTGCTTTTCTTGTTTGCCTTAAGGACAAAAACTAACCGCCTGGATCCACATTTGTAGGTCGGTTTGTCCCAGTCTGGGTTATGATTGTTAACCAAAACTAATGAAAAAACAAATGCAGAAATGGAAAGAAGTACATAAATAAATAGATAAATAAGTAAAAAGTCTTATTAAAAGGGAAGACTATAATTTACTGAAACTGTAAACTGCAAAATCCCCTGTTTTTTATGTTGAAAAAAAATTATCACAGGACTCACTTGATCAGCTGTAATCTTGTGTCAAAATAATATCTTGTGTCAAGATTTGCAAAAGTTCCTAATACAATACTTTATGCCTTAAAATGAACCAGAATATGTAAAAAAAAAAAAAAACTATTGTTCGAACAAATTAAAAATTGACTCAACAAACCTTTATTTAAATAATGGTTACATAAAAACTTGGAAACCCTAAAAAGTAACAATAGCTAACTAAATTAGGCAGAAATATAGTTTAAACTAAATGAAATGAAACTATAATGAAAGATAATAAACTATCATAGCCTTAATCCTAATCAGGATTCATTTCAAATCCCAGTCTAATGCTTCATCAAAGTGAATAAAATCATTCTGAAATTAGATTAAAAAAAAGATGGGCTATTTTAATAAATACGTTTTCACGAGAGCCCAAAATTAAAAAGATCAACAAGGAATGTAGCCGGTCTAAAACAGCTTTGTGAGACATGGAAGTGGAAACCTTGGCTTAGAAATCAGATGCTTAGCATGCAGCTGCAGGTTTGTTTATGCATAATCAGAACAGATGAAAAGCAGGTATCATGAGTTGAATTTGATCTGATCTTGATACTGATCATTTTTAAAGCTCTTGATCAGTGTCAACATTTTGGATCAGATTAGAAAATCTACATTTGTGACCATTTGTACTCAGATTATAAGAATAAGGTGACTGTGATCAATTGAAATGGATAAATAGAATCCATTGTGAACCACTTCAGAATATCATGAAATCAGTATTTGTTTTCTTTCTTTTTCTCTAACGGAGATTGTTGTTCTTCATGTATCCTAAACAAAGGCTACCTGTGTCATTCTTCAGGTTCTGTTGGAGGGCAAGTTCAACGAAGAGGACGGGTGGCCCCATGACCAGCCCGTTTCCTTCCTTTCTCTGAGGCTGCGTCTGGTTAACGTCCTCATCGGAGCCCTGCAGACTGAGACGGATCCCACCAACACCCAGCTGATCCTCGGTATCTGCTCTGTCCTCCACCTCCCGGTTAACCTAACCCACTTGCTTCTGTCTGTGTTTTATTGGCTCTTTTCCTCCTCCTCAGGTGCAATGCTAAACATAGTTCAGGACTCGGCGTTGTTGGAGGCTATTGGCGCGCAGACGGAAACGGTAAAGCTCAGCTCACCCGCCGTCTCTGCATTGATTGGTCTGTAAGGTTTGCCACACCCAGTCCAAAAATCACGATGGCTGTCGAACCCATTTTCAGGGCAGCATCGATGGAAGCCACGCCACGCTGAGAAGTCAGAGTCACAGTCGCACCAACAGCGGCATCAGCTATAACAGCGGAGGGAGCACAGACGCCACTAGCCCAGACTGTGAGCGTCCCGCGCAGGCGCTGCTCAGAGACTATGGTGAGACATGCAGCCTCTCCACCGATCGGTGAATCTACAGTCAATGCTGCTCTCATCAGATGAAGCTGAAAGCTCGCAGCAGCAAACTAACTTGTTGGTTGTTTGTAGCTAACGTGGTTAAAGTGGTGTGCAGAGTTAAGAGGCGCTGGGTAAAATGTCTTTGTAGGTGATTCATCCGTTTGCTGTGATGCTGCTTTATAACAGTTTGAGGTGTCCTGCAGTTTGCTCAATGTTTTCTTGCACTTTTTCGGTGTAGAAGTGGTAAATTTTTACCGATAATCTAAAGTCATTTCAAATGTGGTAGCAGTTCTGCTCCTGTGTGTATTTGACACCTGTTCTTTAGTTTCCTCTTATACTGAATGCTATGCAGTTCCTGATGCATGATGTTTCTAACAGTTGTACTAAAAGGGGACCCTGAGTGTTCCTCCTGTCCTTTCATCTGAGCGGTGTGGCTTTAACCCTGCATTGTTTTGTCCTGTTTCTCGCGGTGTTTGGTATTTCGGGGTGTTATATGGTTTAGCTCTTCCAGATACGGCGGCAGGCCTGCTGGTGCGCAGCATCCACCTGGTCACACAGAGGCTCAATTCTCAGTGGAGACAAGACATGAGCATCTCACTTGCTGCCCTGGAGCTGCTAGCGGGGCTTGCAAAGGTAAACACAATGCAGACAAGCAGAAGCTTTTAATACTGGACTATAAATAGGATGAACTTTTAGAGACTAATCCATGGTTCACTAAATGACATGACACAGAAGCCTTTTTTTTTTAAGCTTGCCAACTTAAATAAACACATGAACAGTTAGCAATTTGGGAACGGAGGAAAAAATAAATGCTCCCTGGTTCTTTAAGTCTACATAATGCCTTCAACAACATGAAGGCTTTTTCTTTTTTATCACAAACATAAACAAAGACCTCTAAAATTGGGACTGTGTGCTTTAGTTTGAGGAAACTAAGATTGAACTTTTCAGCAAAAAAAACAACCAAAAACATCCTGCTTGGTCCGCTGTGAAACAAGGGAAAAGTTCATCATGTCAGACACCAGGTTAGAGGATGTGTGATGCTGTGGACCCGTTTGAGAACCTATGTAATAGAACTCAACCAGTCGAATCTATTGATTATTGGAATGATCGTCAACTAATTTAGTAATCGATTAATCATCAACTGGAGTCTAGATTGTAAAATATGCCTTAAGCTGACAGAGCAACCCAATTAGAGCCGTACTTATACCAAAATTGTAAAATATATTAATATTTTGCAGTTAAGATAAACTTTTTGTCCATCAATATGCTCTACGCAGAACTCATTTAGTGGAAAAGTCTTAGTTCCACCTGGTTTGATTCTGTGAAAAACTTCTTTAAGGAACCTTTTCCTATCCCATTATTAATCATTTAATCAAAAATCTACAGATAGATTAACAAAACACCGTTTTTTCCAGATAGAGAGCATCTCACTATGAGCCGTGTCCACTAAATAAAAAAAATAAAAAATGTATATAACACCTAAATAAGCCGCTGACATCTTCTGAACTGTCTCCCACCAAACCTGTAGGGGGAGCTCTACATATAGCCCCAAGAGTAGGGACGAAAAATAATGCTAGCTCCTGTTAGCATGTTAGCTCGCAGCAGTAAGAGCTTCTACTGAAAGATGGGGCTTCATCAGGTCTTTTCAGCTCTGAAGGTGTTGAGCTCAGTCTCTTCATTGGTTCAGCAGCTTTTAACGCAGCAAATAAATGTCAAAATGTTTTAATTTCTGGACATTTTCTCTCCATTGTGCCTGCTGCTAGTATGTTCCTGTGCTAAATGAAAATTAGCCCCTTATTATTTCATTACCAACTTTGACCTCCCCCCTCTGGTGGTTAGGAAAAACCACAGAAAAGCTGCACCTTCTTGTGTGTGAGACGTTATGCTGCTGCTGTAAGATCAAATTATTTAAAGGTTTTCTGAATACTTTCAGCACCGACTCTGAACAGGATCTCACCTAATCATTAATGACATGATGAGATTATTAAAGCTATTCCAGTTTTAACCAGTTTAACTCTTGGTTTGATGATTCCAAAGTTAGAGGAGTCCACTGTCCCCCTACAGGACGATAAACAACAACTGAATCTTGACAACTCAAATACTTTTTTTTTTTAACCGGATTTTTTTTTTTTTTTTTTTGTAGTAGTAGTAGGCTTCATTTTAAACAAGATATAATTATAATGTATTAAACTGGTTTGGAGAGAAGAGAGACCAAGGCTAAACTATTTAACTTCCAGTTAAATCTATCGTCACTCAGCCTAGCGCTGTTGAAATAGCTCCTGCTGATAAGGAGTTGGTCTAATTCACCAGGTCGCTTCCTGTCTCTGTCTCCTCAGGTAAAGGTGGGCGTCGACTCTGCAGACCGTAAACGTGCAGTCAGCTCCATCTGCGGCTACATTGTGTACCAGTGCAGCCGTCCGGCTCCTCTTCAGTCCAGAGACCTTCATTCCATGATCGTAGCTGCCTTCCAGTTTCTCTGCGTGTGGCTCACAGAGCACCCCGACATGTTGGATGAGAAGGTGCGTTCGGCGGCTAACGCTGAAGCTGATTTTTGAAACTTTACTGAATCTAGAAAAAAGGAAAGCTTTGTTGGGGTGAAATCTGAGTTCCTTTTTATCTTGCAGGATTGTTTGATGGAGGTGTTGGAGATAGTGGAGCTGGGAATCTCTGGGAGTAAGTCTCGCCATGAACAGGAAGTGCGTCACAAAGCGGAGAAGGAGCACAATCCTGCTTCGATGAGGGTGAAGGATGCAGCTGAGGCAACTTTGTCATGGTGAGACTTTGACGGCGGTCATATCGTTTTGGTTTTGTAGTTTGAGCTGATTATTTAGTCTATGATGACTCCAGCTGAGGAGAATTTCTGTTGTACTGTAAATAACTCAGACTATAGAACAACTCCTCTCTTTGAGCTCTTTCTAAAAATGCTTTAACTGACACTGTTTGAGTTTCTTTCCCTGTGTTTGTGTGCTTCCCTCCAGCATCATGCAGGTGTTGGGGGCCTTCCCTTCTCCCAGCGGACCCGCCTCCACCTGCAGCCTGCTGAATGAAGACACTCTGATTCGCTATGCCAGACTAAGTGCCACAGGAGCCAGTAATTTCCGATACTTCGTCCTGGACAACTCCGTGATTCTCGCCATGCTGGAACAACCTCTTGGCAACGAGCAGAGTCAGTGTCGCAACATTTACCCTCTGTAGCAGTGTTGTTGTTAAAAGTGATTAGGGCTGTTTCTCAATTCACAAGAACGCCAGTACAGACTAGTGTTTGCGCCAAGTATGTTCTTGAGAAGAACACAGGAAAGTGTGGACTTGAGGAGAACTGGAGCATATATATGGGTCAATTGGAACAGAAGTGTACTCATGACATCACCACACACTCGGCTCGTCTAGAGCTGCTTTTCACCTCCTGTTTTTAAGTCTCTAGATCATAATAAATTCTTATTTTTTATTTATTGGGGGAATAATAATTAACACAGTCAGATAAATACAAATCAAATGAACATTTTGACAAATAAAACAAAAACAATCGCCATCAGAGCCAGCAGCCCTTGACACACGGCTATGCTGAGAGAGGGGTGCTGCAGACGGGCTAACGTTAGCCCTGGCTGCTGTTAGCCTCGGAGGTCCACTGGTTGCCACGGTCCTCAACATCTGAATTTTTTTTTTTATTATTATTATTATTATTATTATTATGCACTAAATCAGTTAATGGGCCACATAGTGACACTTAAAAGTATAATGTTCTCGCCTCAAATGATCTTAAAACTACTTTTACTGAACAACGGCAACAGAAAAGAGAACTTTTAACTTCATACACGTCTCCATTAAAAGCTGATGCTGCCACAGTGCATGCTGGGACAGCTGTCGACCTCAAGAACGGACACTTCTGCCCTGATACATACTCAGTAAATAGGGAGGGGCAAGAACAACATCCAGGTACTTTTTCCGTCCTCTGTCTGCTGTTCTTGTGAATTGGAACAGTACTAGGGCTGAGGCTGATGACGTTTCACGAGCACATGAGAATGCACAAGTACACATAGAGAAATGGCCTAGGTCTGTTTTCCTTAGAAGGTGCGCTCTTAACGAATGGGTTTGTGATAACAGTAGGGACAGATCTGCATGTTATCCCCCTGTACAGGCAGGCAACAGGAGAAAAGTTGCAGTAGTGAATAAACAGGTGGGATTTAGGTGATGGCTGCTGCTGGAAATCTGAACATTTGCAGCTCTTCATGTCACAACAACCATTCAGGTACTAGTGGGGTAAAGGAGCAAAGCAGAGACAGTTTTTTTATACAATCAGAATAAAAGATAGAGCTCCAGTGTCAATCCCGGCCAGCTGCCGCCCATGTCTTGTCTTTTCACTCTCTCTACCTGCTGGACTTCTTCCATCTCCTGCTGTTAACCCCATGAACTCCAGCGCCGCTGACTCCGCCCCCTTTTGAAGCTCTCTCATCCAGGATTCTTGCTCTAATCTTCCGCTGCTCCTGTTTGAGCAACAGGACGCTGCCTCACTTTTCCTCTCCTGTCTGGTCGTTCCTTCCCTCAAGTGGGATAGTTTGGAGTGTAAGCAGGACGTACTGTTGAAGGGGACAGCCATCAAGATCCAGGTCCTGGAGGAGTGGCTGGTACTCTCCAAACTGGTTCAGGATCTGGTGAACCCACAGACGGCTGTGGCTTTGTTCAGGTTTCCAAACTAAATAAAGCACAGAGACTCAGTCTGCTATGTTGTGGTGGAACCAATAAGCAGCAGATTCAATGACGCAGAATAATCTAAAACTGGTGATTTTTGTCGTAAGAATCGTGTTCAGGCGAAGCCAACATTAAACATGCTCCTAGAATTTAACTGGAGATTAGAAATGATAGATTTGAGTTTTATTGGAAACTTTTTTTATTGAAAACTCTAAAATCCAACCTTTTCTTTCTTTGATAAACACACCATACAAACTAGAGGCTCAGTTTGTTGTAACTGCTGCTATCAAAAGGAGAAGAATCAACGTTAGTTAAACTGTGTAAGCCGAGTATGTTTTTAAGAAAGGAGTATTTTCTGATACAAATTTGCTTGTTAATCCTGTGGAAATGTAAAACTTTAGGTAAGAGTCCATCTGTAGGGGGAAAAAGGAATAGACTGAGATTTGGTTATAACTGATCTAAGATGCTAAAGGGAGCTGAAAACATCACCTTTGTTATAATTTCCAATCAGTACATCCCTGATTGAGGCCATTTGGTTCTAATGTAAATAGTTAATTATAACCACTGATAAAAGGATGTTTAGAGGAAATCTGTTTTAAATGCTGGTCACTTATGATTTAGTTGGTAAAGAGAAATTTGGTTAAATCTGTGTTGATGATATTAACAAATTCACATCATATCCCTTACAGGTGCACCTCAACTCACTGATTTAGCTGATTAAAACATTTCTGTTCCCCGCAGACCCCAGTCCGTCTGTGACGGTTTTGATCAGAGGAACAGCTGGGAGACATGCCTGGACGATGCAGCTCTTCCATCAACCACGAGGAGCTCGTGCCAATCAGAGGGTGAGGGGAAAATCTAAAACATCACATACAGAGAGTGAGAAAAAGCTCTGTCGGCCATCACTGTCCTCACATCTTCAATCTAAATCCTGGCAGATGTTCGTCCCAGAGGGCCGACCTAAACCCAACAATGAGGTGGGCATCAAATACAATGTCAAGCAGAGGCCCTTTCCAGAGGAGGTGGATAAAATCCCTCTGGTCAAAGCTGATGTCAGCATCCCAGACCTGGATGATATCGTCAGTAAGGAGGTGAGTAGCAGCTGGATCCCTGCTGTTTATGATTTCACTCAAATTCTACAGATCGAAGGAGATCTCCGGCTGCAATCCAGTCATTTGTTTTTATGTTGTTACTGTACAAACTCAGGTGGGTTGTTTGGGCTGGGAGGATGATTCAGCTGACACAAGCTCACTGATGAGTGATTACGTGAGTTGTTGAAGAGAAACTAAATTCACTTGGGTGTCTTTTTCAGAGAAGGGTGAAAATGGTTTGGTTGGTGTGACTCGTATTTCCCTTTTTTTCTCATCCAGTTCTTCTTTAGCTTTCTCTAACATTTATATCCTTTGGGGATAAAATGAACTGTTTGATTAAAGAAAGCTTTACAAGACCTGGATGGATTGGTTTTAATACTTTCAGTTCCAGCTATTCTGTTATATTTTTGTTGTGCTTTCAGAGAACTGAGGGTATGAATGTCAGGGATGATGAAAGGTCTGAATGTATGAGTGTCCTGATGATTTGGGTCTTTTCTTATAATGCGTTTGAACTTTTCTTTTTCCCTAGTCATATCCTTATGCAGCTTATTATGGAGGACCAACTCTGCCATATTTAAAAATAAATACAGAAATAAATAAATGCTCAATAAATAAATAAGCATACAATTTATTGCCACCAAAAATACAATCAACAAATAAATGTAAGTAGAAATTAAATTATACAGTGAGACATAAATGTATATAACTCTTTTAATTAGCTTCTTTATTTATTTGCCTTTGTAATATTTACCTTATTTTTTTGTCCTTTATAATCTTCAAATTAATTTTTTAATTACTTATATTTTTCAGTATATATATACAGAAATGTAAATATGACAGGCAGAAATATAAAAAGGGCAGACAGAAATAAATAGCGGCAAAGAAATAACTAGGGTAAAAAAAAATACAAAGGAAGAATAAAACTGACAAAAATATTATAACATGCACATAAATAAATACTTAAAAATATAAGTAATCAGAAAATAAAGTTGAAGATTATAAAGGACAAAAAAATTAAATAAGGTAAATATTACAAAGGCAAATAAATAAAGAAGCTAATTAAAAGAGTTATATACATTTATGTCTCACTGTATAATTTAATTTCTACTTACATTTATTTGTTGATTGTATTTTTGTTGGCAATTAATTGTATGCTTATTTATTTATTGAACATTTATTTATTTCTGTATTTATTTTTTAATATGGCAGAGTTGGTCCTCCATAGCTTTTAACTTCAGTGGATAAAAAAAGCAGTTAAAGCATTTATTAGGTATTTTCTCTGATTCAAATGGCCAGAACTATGCATGCACGCTCAAATATCCAGAGTAACCGCAGTGAAGCTGCATGAGGAATATAAAGAATTTGAATTAGCGTGTGCGCTGCAAGAAGAATTCCTTAATTTAACGTAGCAAGACAGTAAAACGTCCAGATGAATTTCATAATAAAATCAACCGACCTATCTATACTAAGTTCCATTGCAAAAGCAAAAAGTCCAAACAGAAAGAGGAGGAGACGGACGGGTTATTGGAGGGTAAAAAAGGGGATATATATACAGGATATCCCAATCCAATATTGATATCGGGAATTGGTCCGATATCAACCAAAAAATGAATATCAGAATACATCGGCCTCCCTCTTAAATCTTGAATAGTAGAGAATTCGCAGAAACACTTTGCGTCTGTCTGTTTTGCTGAGTTAGTTATGGGTCAGTTGATGTTTATATTGTTCTCCATTTGTGAAATATTACTTGATTAAGCCTTTAATTCCATACTATACGTTGAGTGACAAAAATCTTTATTTATGCTGATGAAGCTGCAATATCGCCATTGTATCCAAAATAAAAAAAAAAAACACGTTATCAGGATGTATTGATGTTATGCGCTACAGATGATTTGAACTTGTTTTCTCTGGAGGAGCAGTTTCTGGAAACGGCTGCAGAAACCGGTGGCAGCGCTCAGTGTGAAGGACTTTTATCTTTCTGGCCTGCCCTGCAGCCGCACTGTATTCAGGCTATGGCTGCAACTTTCAATTATTTTGCTAGTCGATTAAACTGCCGATTTCTTTTTAAATTAATTGATTACTAATTGGATAGGAATAGGTTTCTTAACGGAAGATTTTTTTACAGAATCATACGAGGTGAAACTAAAACGTTTCCGCTTGAGGAGTTTGGGATACGGAATATGTTTGGATGAAAAGTTTCTTTTTTTATCTTAAATTTTATATATATTTACAATTTTGGAATAATTACTGGGTTTCTCTATCAGCTAAAGGCATGTTTTATAGTCTCTACGCTCCATTTAACAATTATTCGAATGCTGAATTAGTTGACGATTATTTCAATAATCGATTAATCGTTTCAGCCCTAATTTAGTCAACGTTTAAAGGAGTCAGTATGAGGCTTTCTAAGCTGTGTCAGTATAAACTTTTAACCGTGGTGTCATGCTTTTAGGCCCTTTTGCCACCAAAGGTATTGATGCATTGCAGAAAGTGGCCGAGGTCTTAAAGAACAACTCTTTAAATTGATCAACTTTGAAGCTTGGACATGGGTGGTTCTGGAGTGAATCCGGCTCGCATTTAATCTTTGACTATTCTACTCTAGCTATTCTGGGAAGGTGGTTGGTAAAATATAAAGGCTGAATTATACCAGGAGTTTCATTCCGGAATCAAGGTGCATCAAGAGCTTTTGGAAATCCCAAAATTTTAACAGAATATTTTTTCAATTATTGTAAGGTTTCCTGTTAACTTTATTTCTGTCTGGGTTTTATCTTCTACTATCCAGCCCGTCCCGTCCATGTTCTGAACATCTCATCTTCTTTCTTTTAGCTGGAAATTCAGCATGACAAGCTTCGTAACCTGATGGCCAAGCAGATAGAGTATGAGAACACTTTGGAACGATGCAGTGAGGAACTGTTGAAGTCCAAGTCTTTTCCAGACCCTCAGATGGACTGCAAACCTCCCCCTCCCGCCCAGGAGTTCCAGACAGCTCGCCTCTTCCTCTCTCACTTTGGTTTTCTGTCTCTGGAAGCACTGAAAGTTCGTACCAACACAATTCCCTTCCTTTTTTACGTCTCATGTGTTATATTTCATTTGAAGAGGCATAGAGGTGTAATTCAGAACGTGTTTGTTCATCATAGGAACCAAACAACAGTCGTCTACCTCCTCATTTGATTGGCCTGGACTCATCCCTGCCGGGGTTTTTCGATGACGTCAGCTACCTGGATCTGCTTCCCTGCCGACCGTTTGACACGGTCTTTATTTTCTATGTCCGGGCAGGACAGAAAAGCAGCTCTGAGGTGAGAAACTTTTATAACGCACTCAGAAATGTCTAGTTTAAAAATGTTTGATGTATCTGTGAAACCATTTGCTTTTATTATTGGATCAGATTTTGAGGAATGTGGAGTCCTCAGCTACCGTCCAGCCTCACTTCCTGGAGTTCCTGTTGTCTTTGGGCTGGCCTGTGGATGTGGGCCAGCATCCAGGATGGACGGGACACCTGGACACCAGCTGGTCCCTCAACTCCTGCTTCGACAGCACTGATCTACAAACAGGTAACCCTTTGAGAGGGCAGCCTGCCGATAGTTAGCTTCTTTTGTGCTCGGTGTTAGCGCTGCTCTGCTAAATCAACGTGTTTGTTTTATCAGACGAAGCAGCTCCTCCTGAGGACACCGGAGGCTCCGTGTTCAACGGCGAAAAGAAAGTTTTGTACTACGCCGACGCGCTCACAGAGATTGCCTTTGTCGTTCCCTCTTTAACAGAAAACTCAGGTTTGTACTCAGTAGGTTGGATCAAACGTGACCCTGATGCAGCACTGAAATGGAATAGATATGAATCCTTTTACAAGTTTGTAGAAGTAAGAAAAAATCAAAGGTTTCTAAACTTTCCTGCCAAAAAATGTGTTTAATGTAAACCGGCTCTGTCTTGCAGAGGAGTCGTCTGTGCACAGTGACTCTACGGTGGAGGCGAACCCCAACACAGACCTCATACCTGGAAAACAATCCACTCTCACACTGGAACTGTTCCCCAACCACTCTGAGAGCCTAGAGTCTGCTAAAAAGGTAGCTCAATACAACCTCTGCGTTTTTTCTTAATGCTGTGCTTGTTTAAACTCTTTTCTGTTATCGTAGCTGAGTCCTTTGTTTAAGACAAAGAGGTCATCGACCGGAAAATCTTACCCTCAGCTGGGCCCTGAGACGAAGGTGTTTGTGGTCTGGGTGGAGCGCTTCGATGATATCGGTACGCACATGCTACATTTAATCAGAAAACTCAGGATAGGACTCCTATCTTTTTATAGTTTGGTTTCAGTCACTATATTTTGCCATCCAGAATCTGAAAGGTGTTGTAAACAAACTTTAGCTAGGTGCCAAACCGAACTGTTGTTGATGTGTGTATCGGTTTTGTGTCTGCAGAGAACTTCCCGTTATCTGATCTCTTGGCGGAAACCAGCACAGGCTTGGAGGCCAGCATGAGCAACAGCACTTCCTGCAGGTATTCAGAGGTTACCACTGAAAGCGCTTAGCTGCTGCCACGCACAAACCGATCAGTCAAGAATTGGTTCAGCTCAGTTGCAGAAAGAAAAGAAGCAGAAGCTGTTTTGCAAAAAGCTACCGTGCAAAACAGGAAGTGTTGATATGTGTGTGCGAAGGTTGGAGGAAACAAAGAAGTGTGGCAGAGCTTTTTGTGCTGTGGTTCAAACAATCAGATCTGTTGTTTTAGTGAACTATAGTGTGGCCTTACTTTCTGCATTATTAAAATAACTGGACGGCACCATTTTGGATCTTTTTTTCACGCAGGTTTTTATTCGTCAGCATGACTTTTGAAGAAGAGTGTTGAAAGAAAGGCTGTAAAGATTATTTAAACAAATGACGGATGTGAAATGTATGCAGTTTAGAAAAAAAAAAAGAAATAGTTTTTAAAACCTCGGGATTGCAGACTAAATCTGGAGCAGAAAAGTTGTTTTGAGGTGAAAAACCACCCAAAAAGTCAAGTCAATATAAGGTGCTCTAGATGCAAGTAGCACTCAGAACCTTTTGTTTGGGTTTCTTTCCACTTTGCTGCATGCAGTTTTTATGATGTCTCCTAAATGAGCTGTAATATATTGGTGTAAACTGGCTGAGATAAAGAGGCAGTAGGAACAAAAGGCAAAGAGGGATCAGGTATTAACAGACAAGGAAGCAATGAAGTGGATCTTTCCGCTGAGATCAACTTTGTCCTCTATTCTTGTTTCAAGGGCGTTTGATTTCATGTAATGTTTTCTTATTTCATATCTTTAGGAAACCTTGTACTACAATATGCATCTTGGCAGACTGCAGTAGGATAGTTTCTGATTTGTAAAGAAGGTTTTTGTTTTTTTATTGAATAGAATTCCTACTAAAGGGTATCTTTAATAACAATCCTGTGTGAATCCCATCACAAAACAGTGATTCCCTTTGTTTCCCTCTTTCTGCTTCAGGTCGGGTTTACTGGAAAAGGACGTTCCTCTGATCTTCATTCACCCGTTAAAGACGGGACTCTTCCGGATTCGGCTGCATGGAGCTGTGGGCAAATTTGGCATGGTGATTCCCCTGGTGGACGGCATGGTGGTTAGCCGCCGCGCTCTAGGTAACGCAGCCAAGTGCTGTTTTTTTAATTAACCCACCCTACAGAACTCTTAAAAAATATTAGGAATATAGGAAATTATTTTGATGTATTATATTTAATAAATTGTTAATATATTTTATTGGTTTGTGGCCCTTTGGGTGTGCTGCTATCAGAGCTCCATTTCTAAAGGCAAAGGATTTATTCTGGAGAGTAGCTTAAAGTTACGGTAGTTGGGTTTTACTTTAAAAGTTTTGTTTTTTTAATCTTGGCTCTGAATCTTATAAGATCTAGATTTTGACTAGACCGTTCTAACAGTATGAATACACTTTGACTTGAAACATCTAAATAATTCAGCTCTAACTCTTTCGTACTGTTTGGGTACATTTTTAACATGTTTTCTTCTAGAGCCGCTCTGTCTTTAGTGCTGATCATCTTATCTGTGACTAACAGATTCAGGCATACATCATAATGCTGCAACCACCAAGTTTTATCGTTATTTTATTGTAGTTTTATTTGACGAGTGCTTCTTAATTTATGTTTTTGTGGCTAACTGTAAAATGAGAGTTAATTTGTGCTTCACAAAAATGAAATTCTGATCTGGAATATTTACAGGGTTCCCGCGAATCCTTAAAAAGTCTTAAAAGGCATTGAATTCTTCAAAATAAAACTAAGGCCCAAATTGGTATTAAAATGTCTTAAATCAGTCTTTCGTAGGTCTTAATTTTTAAAACATGATAAATAGGATTATTTTTATTATGATTTATTTTTGTAATCTAAATAAAACTTTAAAATGTACCTTTTTTTTTATTATTTAAAAAAAATAATGGCTCGCCATTATTGGTTCCGTCCCGATAGTGGAACCAATAAAAGCGCCCGGGACATTTAGGAGATGCGCCATTAACTTTTTGTCTGCAAAATATGAGCAAGTGTAAATGTAACCAAAATTGGCTCCAGCCAAGAGTTTTCTCTGGCTAAAACCAGGGAACATACATGAGGCACAGTTGATTTAATGCAAGAAGCGATTCAAGCTCGGAACGAAACAGCCGGTATTTCTCGGTTTTGTTCCACCCTTGTCTCTGCAACGCCTCCACTTATCACCAAATCAAACTTACTAAGAAAATGATACAAAGAAAAATAACTGCAAAGAAGACTTAGCACTGGTTATGTTGTGGCTTTAAAACTGATTTGTTTTGTTCCCTGCTAAAACAAAGTTTGTGAATTCAGTTAAATAATTGTTAAAATATATCTGTCATTTCTTTGTTTTTAGCTTTCTTCCTGTATGGGAAGCTTTAAAAATTTGAAACATTAGTGCATTGGTTTATGTTATAATAAACCTTTGTGTTAAATTGTCGCAAGCAGGCTTTTCTTGTGTTTCTTGTGAAATTGGTCTTAAATTTTTATTTCAGGTGGCATTAAAAAGTCTTAAGTCTTGAATTTAACTTGCCTTATGCTGTAGGAACCCTGGTTTAATAGAGACTCTTTGATCACTCTGGGTTTGTTTTTTTGTCTCTCTTTCAGGGTTTCTTGTGCGCCAAACAGTGATCAACGTATGCAGACGGAAGCGGCTGGAAAGTGACTTGTACAACCCTCCACATGTGAGGCGAAAACAGAAAATCACAGAAATCGTGCAGCGTTATCGCAACAAACAACTGGAGCCCGAGTTCTACACCTCCCTCTTCCACGAGGTCGGGGACGGAAAGCCCCACCTCTAACCCCGCCTCGCCGCCATGTCCTAACACTGGCTCACAAGCGCACACGCCGCACACACTCTTATTCTGAACCCGTACCCCCCTGCATACACACACACATCCACACTCAAGATCTTTATATTTATACTGTACTATTTTTGTTATTTATATAAACACATATATCAACACTGTTTGCCTTTGACTCTGAGATCAAAGTGTCAAAAAAAAACAAATCATGCCAAGGTGAGGGGAAACACCAACATTTCTGTATTCCAGCTGCGATCCCAACGGTGAAGTCGAACAGTTTGCCGTCTTTCTTCTTGTTTAGCTCCATGCTTTGCAGCAACAAAAGGTTAGCTTGGTCTTTAATGCAATACGTCAGTAACAACGTTGGCCTTTCTGAACTTGTAAAAGCTTCGTTTTGTTTTGTTTTTTTTACTTTTTTTGCTACACGAGATGATTTCATGAGGGAACATAAAATGGTGCCCAAATCTGTTTGTTGTCCGGATGAAACAGATTTAAGTTTGCCAAGGATACAAACCAACATCATTTGCAGCTTAGGAACGTAATCATTTTACCAACGTTGAGGCAGCAGAACTCTTGCTAACGCCAGCTAAAGTCTTCCTCGTGCGAACTCACATTTGGCCTGACTGAGCACACTCTGTCCTTAGCTTTTCTCCCCGATTTAAAGGATTGGTGTGTTTCGCTGAATGCGGGTGTCGTTTTTTGACTCCCCTGTGCTTTTGTGCATGGCTCTCCTTTTATTCTGCTCACATGTGCACAGGTGTGTGTATGTGGCCATTTGTTTGCTTCTTCCGCCCGTCAGTCGACACTACAAGGAGTCAGGGAGCTCTAAGAGCCCTGCACGTGGCATTTGAAAACTGAAATTTGTCACTTTAAACCAATAAGAATCTCATATTTCTTTGTATATTTTTGTTTTTGTTTCCTGAATTTTTCGACAGAGACACCTTTTTTTTATTTTTAATGTTAGTGCTGGAGTTTACTGATGGTGCGAGCTGTGACAGAGCTCCTGGGGTTTGCACTTGATGTTTGCAGGGCTGCCCTTAGATCTAACACACATCTGTTTGAGGCGTGAAGCCACTGCTGATACCAAACTGAACCATTGCACAGTTTTGACTGATTTGTTTTGTTTTGTTTTCCCGGCCAAAATGCTCGATGTAGCTAACCAGTGCACACATCTTGAGCCAGCCTTCCCTTATAAAACGGAAGGCTAAGGATTTCTGCACAGGGCTGTATAACTCTGTATAACAGTAAACTGTATAACAGTTTTGCTGATGTAAGCTGATATTTCTCTTTAAAATCCTCAAAACCTCAAAAAAAGTTTAATTTCTCAATTTTAAGTTTGCATTTTTTGGTTTTCACAAATGTGCATCTGTTTAATTTAGCTTCACTTGTGTTCATTCACTGTACCTTGGTTTTGATGAATGCCCGCTGACTGTCTGCCTGTAATAATGTGAATTTATTTATCACAGAGTTGGAACAGGGCAAACACTTCTTAGTTTAGATGATTTATATTAGAGTCTTAATGCACTGAGCACATTTTAAAGTTTAGTTGTTTTTTTTTTTTGTTACCTTACATGTCTTTTTGTACTTTTTTGCATTTTGAAAGACAAACCCTGCTGAAGGAAGAGTTTTATCTAGTGAAATATGAATGAAGAAGAGGCTTTGTGGAGTTTTTAACCTATCATGTCTAATTGTGACTCACTTTTTATGACAGTGCTGGATGCACACGCCTTTTCTGGAAGGACAGTTCGTTAAATCTGCTTCAAAGAAACTGCATACAATCAGTCACACGTTCTATCCTGTTACTCCTCTGTCATTGGACTGTATTTAAGGACTTGCTATGTACAGAAGTGGAAGATTTGTAAATATATGATAGCCTAAGGCATTCACATGTTGTCTGTTGTGTTCCTCAGCTGAGGCAACAGAAATAAATGTATGTATGCAGTTATGTGTGGGAGGAATGCAAAGGGTTTTGAATGTAACATGCATTAATTAAAACCATTATTGAGCTTTTAATTTCTTGCATCGCTTATAATTTGACTTTGTTCTCACATGATCAGAGAAATATTGTTTTTCCGTTTTGAATCTTTAAGATTAGATAAGAAATACCTTTATAGTTCCTCAGAGGGGGAATTCAAGAGAGGCAAAAAAAAAAAAAACAGACAGAAGACTAAGTATGAAAATAACAAAAAATAAAAGCCAAGTTGTACAGTAGAAGAAAAGGGGTGACACCTCAGAGAGGGAAAAGAATGCTGTGCAAGAAAAGGAATATTCAGGTTAAAAAAAGAAACTAACAGCCAGTTAACAGAACAATGTAAGAAAAACTGCAAACGGCTCCAGAGCAGGTAAAAAAAAACTGCAAATTGTCATTAATGACTTATTAAAGGGTGTAAAATAGTACAAATAAATTCATGATCAGAACCTGTATAACCTTTAGCATCATGGATGTTTGGTAGGAACTGTAATCATAAACAATACAAGTCCGAATCAGTGAAACCTCTGTGGGATCTGTGACACCAGTTAAGTATTAAAACTTAGGCTGTGTCCGAACATCCGCCCTAACCCCTAAGTTTCCCTTTTCTGACATAGAGCGGGGACTATATAGTGGACTTAACAGTGAACACAGTTAACTATTGAACTATGATCACTAATTTTTGCCACATTGGTCACATTTCTCCCAACACTGTGCCTGCATCATCTCTTCTATTCTTCACTGCCACATTAATTCCCATGTTGCTTGGTGATGAGAGCTCTCGCAAAGTAATTTGGAATGCAGCAGCACATCTGGCGACCATGGATAACTATTTTTCAAGGTGCATTGTGGGAAATTTCAAGTCCGCTACTTTTTCATCCACTAGATGTACGGACACTCATTTAAAATGGGGTAACCACTAAATAGTCCCCCTACATAATGGTCTGGACTGCACTGGGGGGAAAAAACGATCTAGAAATAAGTAAAAATGTCTTAAATTAAATGAGCTAGTTTTCCAATGGAATGAGTATATTTACTCTTAAAATAAGATAATTGGATAACATTTGCTTGAAATAAGACAATGCAGTTGTATTTTCTTATTTTATGTGTGAATTGTCTTGTTCCATTGGCAAAATGTCTCTTTTATCTTCTAAAACCAAGAAAAAATGCACTTATTTTAAGAAAAAATTACTTGTCTAGATTTTTTTCCAGTGTGACATTCGGTCACAGACTTAGTGTGAAGTGAAGTGCTACTTTTCAAATGGAACAAAGGATAATTATTATAGGTGCTTGGCTCCAGGTACTTAGAGATTCACTTCCATACAGAAAGCCCACATCCGTATCTTCAGGTAACACAGAGTACA